AAAGACACAAGGAGACAGCAGCAAAGACACAAGGAGACAGCAGCAAAGACACAAAGAGACAGCAACAGAGACACAAGGAGACAGCAGCAAAGACACAAGGAGACAGCAGCAATACCAGCAGCAGATCCCATAGCGCTCGCGGGTTATGTCCTTCAAGCAGCAAAACCCTAGAGAAGTAGCAGCACCCTAGGGCTGGCTGCTGCAGGGAGCACTGCAGCTGCGCATACACCCCAAACCCTAAACCCTAAACCCTAAACCCTAAACCCTAAATCCTTGTTTCACAAGGATATCCAGCTATAGACTGAAGCAAATGCAGCGTAGGGATTAGGGTTTAGAAAGGTGCGGTTTAAGCTCAGCAAACGAGGGTTTAGGGTTTTGAGGCTAGGGTTTAGGGTTTAGGGTTTAGAGGCTAGGGTTTAGGGTTTAGAGGCTAGGGTTTAGGGTTTAGGACCTCTCCGTAAGAAAGAAGATAGTAGAGGTTGTTTGGAGCCCTCATTAATAGCTCCTCCCAGACAAATGCTGCTTGCTGCAGCAGCAAAAGGTGCTGATACACCTCAGCTAACTCATGACGGGCCTCTGTATCCCCTGCGTATTCCTTGAGGTGTCTGTGCATACACCGCAACACAACCGACCCCACACTCTACTGCAGCACAGCAGCAGCACAGCAGCAGATGCTGCTGCTGCTCCTCCTACGGCTGCCACCAATGCTGCTCCTGCTGCTGGTCATGCTGCTGCTGCTGCTGCTGTTGAAGGCTCACGCAATAAGAAAAGAAATGCAGCTCTTGTAGTTCCCCTGCAGCAGCAGCAACAGCAGCAGCAACAGCAGCAGCAACAGCAGCAGCAGCTGAGAAGCACCCTGGCGTGATTCACCATCCCTAGCAGCAGCAGAGGTACCTCTTGCAGCAGCAGCAGCAGCAGCAGCAGCAGCGGACCTGGAGTTTGTAAGCAGCAGCAACTCTTCTTCTTGCTCCCACATCTCCCGGGTGTATGCGCAGGTACTCAGACAAAAAACGTAGAGACTCTTGAGGCCTTCCTTCTGCTTCGTTCTGCAGCAGCAGCAAACTCCGCAGCCGCCTGCTGCTGCTGCTGCCCCAACGTGCAGCAAGCGCATCGTAGCAACCCTGCAGCAGCAGCAGCAGCAACAGCAGCAGCAGCATTAACAGCAACAGATAATAGATACAACATGATCTAGAACAAAGGAGTAGCAGCAAGATGCCACTTGCTGCAGCTGCTGCTGTCTCTGCAGTGCCTCAGTAGTTGCTGCTGCATCTGCTGCTGCTGCTGCTGCTGCTGCTGTTGCAGGTTTCTGTTTACTTTGTAAATAGTGGTTTCATTGAGGGTGAGGGCCGCGAGATAAACAGCTTCGTACACCGACCACACTGCAGCAAAACAAACAGCAGCAGCAACAGCAGCAGCAGATGCAGCAGCGTCGATCGGGAAGCAGCTGCAGCAGAAGCAAACGCCTCAGCACCCATAAGCAGAGCGCAGCAGCAACAGCTGTACACACAGCAGCAGAAGCATCTACAGCAACAACAGCAGCATCGACAGCAGCAACAGCAACACACACAGCAGCACAAGAATCTATAGCAGCATCTACAGCAGCAGCAGCAGCAACACCGACAGCAGCAACAGCAGCAGCAGCAGCACCTTCATCTTTGAGTGCCTTTGCGAATCTGTTGAGGAGAGCGGTGCCGTAAGAAAGAGACAAGGAGACAGCCCCGATACTCTCTGCATGCACCAGGCCTTCTTGCAACGCATGCAAACTGCATGCAGCTGTGGGGGGCTTCAGGGGCCCCTCGGGGCCCCCCATCTGCATCCTGCAGCAGCTGCAGCAGCAGCAGCAGCAGCAGCAGCAGAGCGTCAGTGTATGACGCAGGACAACGGCAGCTACTCCTGCGGCTGTTGCTGCAGCTGCTGCAACGGGTGCGGCTGCTGCAGCTGCTGCTCCAGCTGCTGCTGCAGCTGTTGCTGCTGGTTGTACCTACAAGAGACGTATGCTGTCCGTCTGCTGCTGCAGCAAGAAGCTCCTCCTCAACAAAGGCCGAGCAGAACAGCAGCAGCAGCAGCAGCAGCAGCAGGTAAGATTTGTAGGCTGGGGGGTTAAAAGTTTCCCAGTGTGGGAGTAGCTAGGGCCCTACAGACACCGCAGCAGCAGCAGCAGCAGCAGCAGCAGCAGCAGCCGCAGGGGTAGCGACCTCTAATTCTGGCTGATAAACAACGTGAAGATTAACTTGCTGTAGAAAAACAACAGCAAAGACACTCAGCGGGAGTCGAGGCTCTTGCTGCTGCTGCTGCTGCTGCTGTTGCCGCTGCTGCTGCAGCCCCGCGACAGCGCAGCAGTCGGTACATGCGAAGATGATGCTGCTGCTGCTGCAGCAGCAGCAACAGCAATTCAGATGAAGTAATAACATTATTTAATTATGCTGCTGCAGCTTCGGGATTCTCTCTGAGGTGTACGTACACTCCAGCGGCGTGGCTGCACAACAAGGCCCTAGGCCTC